TTGGTTAAGTCTGTGTGGTGTCTGAATAACAGGGCAAATAATTTTTTTTTCGTAAAAAAATTAATTTTTTTGAAAATTTTGGCCCATTTGACCTTGAAATAAAGGTCAAAGGTCAAATCCAAGGGCATATTTGAAATCTACACATATGACTTTTGGAAAGCCGTCTGTAGAAATTTTTCCCATAATTCCATCCGTAGGGTAGATAATTAGCATTTAATTTTGCCATTTTTAGACAAGGGTGCATTGCAATGAGTGCCACACCTAGACCCCAATACGGACAAAGCCCAAATTTTACGTGGAACGAGTTGAGATTATAGGTGACCTAAATCCAAGAGATGGGTACGGGGTCCTTACCGTCTAGGAGGAGAAGTGGTAACGGTAGCCGTCCGGCGGAGCCGCAGGAGCCGGCGGAGCCGGTGGAACGATCCGGACAAACCATGTGTACCGCCAGCGCTAATGCTGGTGGTACAATTAACACTACTAAAAACTCAATGTTATATATATATATATATATATATATATATATATATATATATATATATATATTAAGAGCAATAGAGAGATTTAAAAATGTGGGTCTTTTAATAAAGAAATTACACACAGCTGACAGGCCATTTACATGAGGGCCCTGAGTAGCTTATACATGTAAAGATATATACATAAAGCTCAACAATACCTTTCAGCGTCTTCTCTCCCCTGTATACACGGATTTTATCATCGAGGTCCTGGTCAAGTCGGAATACCAACAAGTAGATGATCCGTTCTGAGAGGAACGTTTGGTGCGTGGTGTAGTAGACATCCTGTCCTGCAAAATCCCAAATTGTGACCTGTTTCTCTGGCTCCACATCTTCTCCTCGAGCAATTTTCTCAATTTTTTCCAATAGCCCCTTGTCAATATCATGTAGATGGTCCCTTTCTGCCACTGCGAGGAATACAATAAGCTATGTCCAAACTAACTGATTTTAGCATAATGCATATTGTTATGTATTACAATGCATGCATATTTATCCAAATCATCGTATTTATCCCACAGTATATTGTATAAATATTGTACAAAAATAAATAAATTAGATTGAAAATGCATGTAATAAGTATAATTGGTATCAAGCACCCGATTGAGTTTTCAGCTTATGTGCCTTCTTCAAGGGGGGGGGGGGGGGGTTGAGAAGGAGAGAGAGAGACTAGACCTTAATCTTAATAGACATGCTTTCAATCTAATTTATTTCATCTGTCAGGGATTGTTCATACATCGACATACCGTCAATATTCTTATACTACTCATGTTTTCTTCCCCAGAGGTATGAGATCCACTTTCACCTTTGAAAGGGACTGTACAATAAACAGTGCGGTCAAAATAAAACTTTTTAGCATAAAAAAGTATCGTAATTATTGACAAAATTTGAATGTGTTTAGTGTCAATTATCTTTGTGAAACAGTTATCAAATACATTAGAAGCTTTAGTCTGTTTCTGAAGGTTTATCAGCAATCTGCAAAAAAAAAAACTTAATTTTTCTTAAAAATGTATCCTCTCTGATGAATACAAGTAGGTAAGCTCAAAACATAATGGGGTAATAAACACTGAATGTTTTAACATTCATTAAAATCAATTAAAATTGTAAGGTATAGTCAATTTCAATGTAACATTATTCATACAGTTTGATGAAAATAAGAATGCAGGAACTCACATACTTAATCGACAAGCTAAGAACAACTCTCGAACATTCTGAGCAATAGACGAGAATCTTGTTTTACTAGTACATGTACACTACTTACCTGCTGTTTTGTCAGGAGAGGCAGGTGATTCACTGTCATCAGGGGGAGCGGCTGTAGAATAAAGAGAAGAATAATATCAAACACCATTCTAGCAGAAAATGACTCAACTTTAAAGAAAACAAAAACAGGGCTAAGATAAAGGAATTTCTTTCCAAAATTTTAACATATAATTTAACTTCGGGATATTGTATAAATATTGTAAAAAAATGAATAAATTACATTGAAAATGTGTCTAATAAGATCAAGTATAATTGCTATCAAGCGCCCAGTCTTCAAGGCACAAAAAGTATAATGGCC